GAGCCCTGCGCAATCACCTCCAATCTTGCGCCATCGGTCGATGATTAGTTTTCACATCCTATAACTGTCGCTTGTTCTGCTGCTGCTATTACTATCTCTAACGATGGACTCCTGCACGAGTCTTTGGTCTTTCATTAGTCGTCATAAAAACTGAATCAAACGCAAATGTCACAGGTGGCGCCTACTAAACAGAGAAGTGCCCCGAAATTTTATAAGCACTGCACTTAGGTGGGTCTCCGTGCATCAGACGGATAAGCGTGGGACACTGTCCAAAGACTAAAACTTCATAAGTACCTCCACCACCACCGATATGCAAACAATTCCAACCGAAAGGCAATAAGAGACAGCAAATGTAATTTAACAAAAGGCAGAATGCGTGGCTTCACTCGTTTAAAAGGAATCACACTTTTGTTGAGTCTTCCTGCTTGGAGTATTTCAAATGACACACCGGGCAGGAAAACTGGACACAAGTGAATGCCTCAAAACGGACAGCAGATTTATTTTAACCTCCTCTGGCAACCCGAGGCTGTAGTAGAATTCATTGCAGTGGATTGTGTGTTGGGGAAATGCAAGTCCAGAGTAAACACGCAGACGGCGCCTGCCCCGGAGATGACGGACGAGTGCGGTGATTTGCACCGGGATGTTGTGGTAAATGAAAAGGTTCCTGCTAACTTCACTGAATCCTTCAATCTGAAAGGAGCCCATATATTCGAAGAAAAGGATGGACGCACCTGACAGATGAGGCTTACATTTGCGAAGTCAATATGCATTTGGCAAAGGTGCTGAGAATTCGAATTTTGCTGTTCTGTTATAACCATGTCGCAACTACTATTGATGCTGAACTGAAGGCCTTCAAGACGACTTTGACAACCAGGTCCATCCGCTATTTTGATTTTGATGTATTTTGCTGAGGAAGAAGACATGTATGATTGCACAACCGCTGCTAGATCGTCCGTCACTTGGAAGGGGCACGAATCTGCGAGGATGAAGTGGGCACATAATTAGACTAGTCAATGATGAGAGGGCTCCCATGGAGCGTTATATGCCCCCCTTTTGTCAAACCTTCGAAGCAGTTTGGGCAAACTATCCCAACCTCTTGTTTTGGCAGTAATGTCCATTGTTGAGTGGCATTATTTGACTTATTGCATTCTCGTGGAAATAAATAAAAAGATAATTCTGAATCTGCGGATGAACTGTTTATGAGTTTGATTTGATTGTACAGAGGGTGACAGGCGAGCATAATTGGATTTACATATTTTATTCTTGCACATGCCAATTGCGTGATGAAAAATATCACATAGTTGAGAGAAAATGATAGTGAAAGCTGAGGTTTTCAACTACCCCAAAACTTACCTTTATAGTTAATGCAACCCAATGCCAGGGATGCGTAAAAACATAGTGCGGTGAAGAAGGCAGGCAACATTTTCAAATGGGTTGCTGAGGCCGGCTATTCACATAAATATGTGAAGATTCCAGGTGCGGATATATTTCCGTGTTGTTTTCTTCAGAGGATGATAAAAATGATATATATATATATATATATATATATATGTGTGTGTGTGTGTGTGTGTGTGTGTGTGTAAATCACCCCAGCAAGTCTACTGACCTGATGCCGTCGGTTATTGTGAGGTTGTGGGTGGCTACACACTATCGGCCTATACCTAGTTTCACGTGTGTTGAACTTACATCAGCTAGGGGGAAGATTGTAAACATCTCGCACAGAATTGATGGGGATCATGAAGTTATTGCTTTTTTGTCAATCAATCCGCAGACAGTCTTGTGCGCATTAATATTTGCTTGATTGACTTTTCGGAAATCCAGCAAGAATTTTTGCAATCAATATCTGGTCTGTCACTCTCTCTGGTGATGTTTTCGAGTGAGAACCTGAAACGGCAGGCGGATAAAGCTGTTTTTCCAGCGGTCACTTATACTTCTTATCAAATAACACTTCTGTTCCCGGGCAACTCCCCGTCTCCGGGACCACTCTGTTGTGGTGCATACGACAGGCATCGTCAGAGTCGAGGGTCAAACTAGCACTATGCTCCTAGGACCATTGGACGTGGAATATGTTCATGGCAAGTTTAAGGTACAGATGTATATTCCCAGCTAACGCAATGCAGAAGCAGATGCCGTGAAGTGGTGGAAAGGAAAGTTGAATGTCACCTAAACTGAACTGAATTGATTAGGAGGAAGATGAAGCATTCCAAACTGGTAGAGTTTCCGATGGTTTTTTGTATGTTCCCTTTTTTTTACCAAATATCAACAAGCACATAAAAGTTCTGTACTGACAATGCCGTTACTAATATGTTATAATATTAACAAGGACTTTCGCAGTGGATATTGATTTTTTTAAACTTTCTGCCCAGACAATTGAGACCGAAGTAGCTGATGCTACTGATGGCTGGATTACATGTGCTTGTCTCAACTGACACCAACGCTTATGTGTGTGAGTCCACGCTGGCACGAATGCGGCAAGTTCAATGAAACTTGTTGCGGCTATTGTTGTTGTTGCTGTTGTGAGGTCAAGTGTGTTGGCCCGCCAGACGTGCTGACCGCACAATCAAGTCCACCAACAGCCCAGCATGCAGAAACGGTCACTGAATTCAGGCTCCTACAAAACGCGGAGGCACGCACATGTGTCCAAAATGTCGTCAACTAAGTCAATTCAAACGCGTTCATTACGCCGCGCAACGTAGTTGACTGGCTGAAAATCTATCAGAGATTCCGAGCCTACGAATTCAAACGCATTCCGAACTATCTCGGATCGGCCAATATTTTACCGGAGAGCGTATAAAAAGCCCTGTTATAAATTTGCCGGCTAGATCACAGTTAGTAGCCAGGCCCCGTATTACAGGCCGCAGAGGAGGGGGGGGTTGTTTACTGAGGCTATTTTGTGGGGTTCCATAATCACATCTGACCTCGCTTAAGCCTTCGCTGCAATGTTCGAAGGTGGCCAAGTCGGCGATGTCCATTCTATACCCAGTCAAACGGCCGTTCTCTTTCTTTGATGAAGACTGCTTCGCCAAGGTCTTCCAGACTTTTGTGCGACCGCATCTGGAGTTTGCTATCCAAGCATGGAGACCCTGGACCGCTAAAAACTTGGGCATATTCGGAAAAGTTCAACGGCGAGCAACGAAACTTGTATCTGGGCAGTGGTCACTACCCTACGAAACACGATTAGCTAATCTTGACCTCTTTCCTTTGAGTTACAGACAGCTACGTGGGGACCTGATACAAGCTTTCCGCATCGTGCGCAATCAGGACTGCTGCCTCGCATCTGGAGACTTCTTCGAGTTGGCGACTACGACTAACCTGAAAGGCCATCCACTCAAACTGCGTGTGACTGGTGCCCGGCTAGACACACGAATGTTCTTCTTCTCCAACAGAGTGGTTGCAGCTTGGAATGCCTTGCCTGAGGATGTTGTTATGTCGGGATCCGTTGTTACTTTTAAACGGAGGCTATACCAACATTGGAGCGCGCACCACAATAACGCCGGACTGCGGCCACCTTGATAGCCAACGCTGACAATGTAGTGTTATGACGATGCTACTACCAACATTTAGGTAACACATGTTTATGTAATTTATTAATTTTGGGCCAAGTCGCCCACCACTCCTCGCATTCACCACGATGCCTGTAGACTAGAAAATTTTACTTCTCCTGTATCTTAGGTGTGCTTCAACTTTCTGCTGCATTTAATCACAAACTGAGTTCATGTGTCTCTAAATGCTGCTAACGCATGACATTCTGTGTCCATCTGTACAGTTTTTGTTATCCCCCTTGTATTTCTTTCAAGTTACTTCCTTTCCATTTTCTCCATATACTTCCTATGCATGTAACCAGTAGGGATTTCAAAGGTACACACCTATTTTCCCTGAAATACACTGATACTGATACTGACCCATTTGGCTCCCGTTTTACGTTTTAGGTTAGGATTAGGGTACCGGTTAAGGGTTTCCGATTTTCGGGTTAGGGTTATGCCTTTAGGCTTAGGTTTTTGGGTTACGGTTAGGGTTTGAGCGTACGATAAGGTTTCAGTATTACGGTTAGGTTTTTCAGTTACGGCTATGTCTAAGGGCTACGGTTGCGTTTACGATTTCGGTTAGGGCTGGGGTTAGGGTTGTCGTTAGGGTCAACGGTTAGCGTTTAAGGTTGAGGTTAGGGTTAAGGTTAGGATTATGGTTAAGGTCGCCGTCCGATTCCCCATTCCTGGCTACCAACTGCGATCTAGCCAATTTGCCAATCAAACGATAAGATTTTCAAGCATGACGTCTTTAAGTTATCGATTCATTAAAACTGCCACAACGAGTTTGCCACAAATTCATGAAACATGGGGCGCACACTTCCGACCTGACTGGTTCGTGCAGTACACAATTCGGCGTTTCCTGCATCGACATTATTTCCCGGTAGACGGAGAACGCCTTTTTCGTAAAGCACTAAACTACAAAGTAGCTGCATATGTCATGCTCGACCTGCAGATACGATCGATGACCAAATCACTTTTCTGATGAACCTGTATCCAGAGCTATTCCTCAAAGACAGAGCCAGATAACGGAAGTGGATAACCTATGTATTTCAGTGCTTATGTTATACAGTTGCTGGGCCACCAGATATCTGTCACAGTCGGCAGCTCTCGAGGACATAAGGGCCCGACTAACTAGACGAGACACTGTACGGACTCCATACAGTTGATATGTTCCTGTGCGCTGGTCAAAATTATCGGCTCTCGTGCTCATCGCTCGCAGTTGATGAAGTTGCGGGGGTAGCCATTGGCTCTAAGCACCCGTCGAAGATATTGTAATCCAGCAACCTTGTCCTTCCCGTTCACTGCAGTGTATTTCCACACGTCGGCATAGCGCCCCGACGCAAATGAGCCTGTGGCTAATTGAGTGGTTGCTGTTGTAGCTCAGTACTTGTGTCCTGTTTGTCTCTTTCTTGAGCATTTTGGTTTAAATGCCACCGTAATTTCTGCGGCAGACGAGGTCATCAGGAAGGCCAGCTAGTTGTTGGCTTCTTCCTCCATCGCAAATTTCATGTCCGCGTTAACGGCGTTGAGACGTTCTTTGAAAGCTAACACCTGATCCCGTTCAATGACGACGAAGGTATGATCTATATGCCGAGCCCAGAATTTTGATCTGTGATGTCGGAAGACCGGCGACTCCACCGTTTTATCCATGAGTCTCGAATCGTAGATTGTTTCGTCAAATCTGAAGTAGGTTTTGAGATCAAATTTCAGCAGTTGGAGGATTTAGGCCTGTCCGAGGCGTTTCTCCCTTTGATCGTGCTAGTCTCTCAGGAGTAATTCGATGTAATTGACTGCCAGGTTTAGCGGATTAGAAATAATAATGGACGTGACGTCAAAGGATACCATGAAGTCGCTTGGCAAGGGACTTACCCAAGAATACTGCTGAAGAACTGACTGTAGTGTCCGAATTTGCGGTCAGAACACCGAAACAGCCATTTTGCTAGTCCATGCGCTGTAGTAGCTTTGAGTGATACGATGGGTCGGAGTGGGACACCCACTTTGTGCACCTTGGAATGACCATAGTATCGGGCAAAAGCCATGTCCTGGGCTCTCGCCATGCGTCTGTCAACAGGCGATATTGCACCTGAGTTCTCCACTTCCGACAGTGTCGCATAGATTTCTCGTGTCAGCATTTTTACGAGGTTGGGTGCGCACGGACCGCATGACTGACAGTCCTCCAGTAAACGTTTGACATTTTGAAGGTAATCTGTCTCGTCCAAAATAACCATGAGACGGCCCCTGTCCACAGACACGACAACGAGACATTTGTCGGCCTTGAGTTCCCCGGGTGCAGCACGTTCCACCTTGGGCAGCATTTCGCGCGGCCTGTGAACCATAAGCAGAGAGGGAATTTTGTGTCGGATGAGCCAATTGAACTCGTCTGTCGACTCCGTCTGACTGATGTCTGATTCCACCACTGCGATCACGTTGACAGGTTTGGCATCAGTTGCGTTGAATAAAGCTTCAGACCGCAACACCAGCTGAATGATTTTGCTTAAGCGGAAATTATACAGTTCATACTTTAGGAACCTTGAACGCAGATGTAAAGGCAGGCCAGGTTTCTATATTTTTCAGAAATCGAAAAAGCTTTGAAAACAAATTATGCTATTCCTTTGAGTATAGAATCTAAGGAAGACATAATTATCTCTAAAATAAGTAAACGAACGATTGCTTTCTATGCATATTTTCTATAAAATATATAAGGACATCGAAAATCGGAAAGAAGCTTGTCTAAGGGTCGCATTCTTACGTGGATATTTATCATGGGATTATGCTGCACGGTAATTAATCTAACAACTCTATTTATTTTTTAGAATCAAAAACCTACTTCAGAGGGGATGGTTTATTATTCCGGCGGAGCGGGCTTAACACACATAAATACCTACTAGTTTTGCATAAGTAGGCAGTGTTTTGTATACTTTTTGCTTACCATCAGTCGCCCTAACTTGATCACTTACACAGAACAGCCTACCGCGACCAATTCCTGTACATCTGCAAGATACGGTCAAGCCCACCGCATAAAGCAATCACAGGCAAAGCAGTTTGAATTAATTTTATGCTAAAGATATTACCTACATGTTGGAAAATTCAAGTGTGGGGATATATTCGAAGACTTTAACTTCTGTAATTTTTCTCTATTGAATTAATTGCTTGCATTGTTTCCTTCACCGCTATGGGCAAGTCACGCTGAGGTCGTCCGGCTTCCAAACTGGCTGGCGCCGACGCCCTGCGTTTTAAGGGGTAAATGAAATTGGGCTTAGTGTAGGGATTGCCGAGATTTGCTTTTGCTTGGATTAATTGACACTTATTTACACCTACCGAATCATCTTCATTTCATTCTTCACCATATTCAACTTTTTGCCTATGCTCGATTGCAATTACCACCATAGAGAGAGGGTGGGGAGGAACTCGCTTTCTTTTGAAAGCGTATATTCAAAATTGTCAACACACTGTGGACATCGTCAGAATCGACGGCCGGACTGTCGGACGCCATACGAGTTTACACACAATTAAAAGTTAAAGGTGTTTATACGGAAAGGAACAAATACTAGGGGGGCAATTCAAGTCTTAGTTTCTGTGTTTCAGTCTCTTTACGCGTGAAATAGCATGCCAAGTTCTACTTAGGACAAAAATTGGTGGATTTTTAGGAAAAGTTGGGATACTTGCTGTGTGCCAGGCGCGAGGGATCTTGGACCCCATAGAAGACATATCAATAAGGTGCGCAAAAACAGGGGCTATCTGAGAACAGCAAGAGTAAAGGAGAAGACGTTGAGATACTATCCGGTCCGGCAGATTTTGATCTCCGGCCCTTTCTAGGGCACTTCTCTACTGTCGCCACAAACGCAGGCGAGAAGACACGTGGTAATAAGAAATACTATTGGGGGAAGATAGGTGCCGTTGCGAGTTAGAATGAAATTTCCGGTTGAAGGCTCTCAATTGGCATCTACATGAGCCAGTGTGCTACGATGGCAATTGAGACGCTTATGGTTCCTCCAAATTTTAATAGACGAAAGATAACAAGCAATAGAGGAAGAAAAGGCAAAAAGCTCACTAATAAACACGTCATTTAGACTGGCAATCTCTTTTTTCATTAGGATGGTAACGTCCTTAAGGCTGCCGCATAGACCTGGCTTGTAGGAGATTTCCTTTTTGCGTCTTAAATATTTTAGACAGGGAGAAGAAATTCTATCCGGTCTCACCATAACAGTATCAGGAGGACATCAACTATCAAAAAGTTCATTTAGAAGTGTTGAAAGACGGTTAGAGCACGATTACAATTTCGATTTTTAGACGAAAGCGGGGATAGTGTAAGATATGCACGTCTGAAGTATGTAAATGCTTTGGGTGTACGTGTTGCGAATCTTGTTCTTTCTTTGAGGTTTGGTTATCAGCGCACGATTAGAGATCGAGTAGATTTTTAGAAGAGCATTATAACGTGGAATGATCTGACTCTGACAACGAGTTCTGTTTTTAATACAGAAATGCTTGCTGTGATTGGTCAAAATGTGATCGAGAGGGGCATCAGCGCGAGTATTAAAGGAGACAAGGCCATCAGGCCTTAAAAGTTTGAGGAGACGTATGTTCACCCGGTTAAAATCGCCACATAAGTGAGTAAGATGCTCGCAGGAAATTATAGCAAGTCTTTATGAAAGAAAGTCGAAAAAGCGGTCTAGAGCATCTTCACAAATTGAGGGGGAAATATAAGTACTGACAACTATAATGCCTTTATAAGTATTTAATAAACGAGCGTTGCATATAACAGCGTTCACGTCTATCAAATTATCAGAGTAAGAAAATAAGGACTAACAGTCTGTGCACGAACTTTGGTAAACAAAAATATCACCGCGTTAGGTATATACAGGTGCCCCTGTGGCAGGTAATACGAAGAGAAGTCCTTAAACTTATAAATATATTTCAACGAGGACTACTGCAGAAAGTACTTACTTCTCCACGTTAAATCTCTATGGGCATGGGTGTTGGAAATAGGCAAACTGTCTTGGTCTGATACAATTCGGTTGACATTTTCGTCTGCGAAATGGGCATGTAGTTCCTGAGTGTTAGGTCGACTGTGAATTTGTGTCGCCGTCCATGAGTTGGGGAACAGACTGTGGACATTGTCGTTTGCCACGGTGGAAGGCTTGAACCCCTTTCCTGTGTCAGGAAATTGATCAACCCACTTAGTCGCATTCACATTCATGCACGTCTAATGATGTGACAGTGAAGAACTATACACTGAAAGATTATTGTAAAATCTAAATTAATGTTGAAGATGGGGTCCCGCCTTACTGAATAGTTTGCTCCTTACAGATGCAAGATCAAATTATAGGACATTTCGACCAACTCTTTTTACCTTCAACTATAAGACGAGACCAGAATTTGTAAGGTTCAAAGTTATGAGATCACTGGCTGCAAATATCACCGCAATTGCCACCCAGAACTTACTATACTCCGCAAGATCCAAGCGTTTATAACCACAGGGTTGCCCTGCTTGTTAGAGGCATAGATATTAAACAGCGCGCACCTAGCCGTTGTTCAGTTCAGTTCAGTTTTATTGAGGTAAATGTAGGTCTTCGCCTTTGAACTCCCTATTTGTTTACAAGCAACTTCAAAATTTTAAAAACTGGGAAAGGTATCATAAACGTAACAAATAATCGGAAAAGCGTCAACTACGTACAGATAAACAAACTGTCTCGAATGTTAGTGGTACGAGCAGTAGTACAGAGGTCGTTTCGAGTGCAGGGAAATAAATAATATACCCGGTGACAAAAGTTGCATAGGTGAATGTCATTAAGCGTAGGCGATGGGTTGGAGACAATAAGAAATTCAAATTGAAATGATGCTGAAATATGGTAAGTAGTATAATAACAACAGGATTGGCCAAGTTTACAGAGGTCGGGTGGTAATTTAGAGGACACTGTAAGACACCTCTACCCATCATATAATCGTACTTGTTGAATTCAAATACCGCTTACGCATTCGGGATTTGTAATTCATTTTTTTGAAGACGTCTATCAGATCATCAGAGTAAGAAAATGAGGACTAACAGTCCCTGCACGAACTTTGGTTATTAAAAATAGCACCCCGTTTGGTATATTCGAGAAGGTGATTATTCCGTCGGTGCCCCTGTGGCAATTAATACGAAGGCAAGTCCTGAAGCGTATAAATAGTTCTCGACGAGGCCTACTGTAAAAACTACTTACTTCTCCACGTCAAATCTATATGGACATGGGTGCTGGATATAGACAAACAGCCATGGTTTTTATCTGCGAAATGAGTTAGGTCGACTGTGAATTGGTGTCGAGGTTATATTGTACTTATGAACCTAACGTAGGCCGTTCAGTAGGGATCATATGGTTTCCCGTAGTTTTGTGTTCTCATCAAGACATTCCTTCGTTACCCGTTTGCCGTTCGGTTAATCGAAGCACCACTGACTTTTCAACATTTTAATGCCACGTAACAGACATTTGAAAAAGATCATGAAGATGCTCTGAGCTCTTTCCTGTAATTATTCTGATTCACTTAACAAACGCGATCACGCATTTGGCTCCAATGCCGCTTGCTACGGCCAGGCGGTATTTGAGTTAGACCAATACGCGGGCCCCGTTATTTGGGCTGCGCGATATTAGCAAACGTCACAAATGGAGGTAAGCTGGCTAGCAGGACTTCACAGGTAGAGGGAGGAGTGTAAGTACTGACAAATGTAATGCCTTTAATGGTATTCAGCAAAATATCTGCAGTAAATGGTCAAAATGTGATCGAGGGGGGGGGGTCGTCAGCGCGATTACGGAAGGAGACAAGATCATCAGGGCCTATAAGTTGGGCAGACGTACGTCCACGCAAAGTGGCCATTTAGCTTAGTCAGCCACTGCGTCAGATCCCGACTCCAGTCCTCCCAACTGGGTTTCCACACCAGAACCGGGTGGGTAAGGAGGAGAGTGTGTAAGTCTAATATCACTACAACCTAGTCCACGCGTAATTCGCCGTCCATGAGCCGTGGAACGGACCGTGGACATTGTCGTTCGCGACGGTGGCAGGCTTGAGCCCCTTGTTTGTGTTAGGAAAATGATAAACCTACCTAGTCTCACTCACTTTCACACAGAGAGCGAAAGTACTTCTGCTATGAATATCATTGACAGAGGATCAAAAACATGCTTAATGATGTGATCATCAACAAGCATATACAGAAAGTCCGTTGTGAGATTCGAATTAATGTTTAAAAAAGGGGTTCTGCCTTGCCGATTAACCCCTCTTTTCCAGATGCGTTATCGAATTATACGGCATTTGGATTAAAGTATTTTTTAGCATTCAATTTCGGCAAACCTACGCTTTTGATTTTTAATCAACTGGCCTGTACAGTAATATAAGGGAAGGTAGAGTATCAAAGGTTAAACAGCCAACAAAATTAATTGCGAGGGGATTTGGTTGATGGGATCTCAGAGGACAGGGGTGAGATTCTGGTCCTTTCATGGGCATAGGGAGGGGTAGGGGGAAGGTGTCTGACAGGTAGCTGTTAATACTTCCTCGCTGTAAATAGAACGTGGCAGGATGTTCGAACACACTGCCAGGTCTGTCTTTGACTAGGGAAGACTTAGCGCTTGTACAAACGCCTAATGCGAGCACAGGGTTCGGGTTGCCTAACCGTACGGCCACTGCCTCTGCCGTCGCACACATCCGCTGACTCGGGAACATGCTCTGTCTCACCGAGGTAACAATCGGGAGATGGCACTCAAAAAATCCGCCTAACTAAAGCAGCCTGTCTTACGGGACAGGTGGTAATAGGGGTCTTATGGGTGGTGGCTGGTCGGGAGGTACGATACTAGCCGATGGAAAGCCTTATTTGAACAGGTAAATGATCGAAGTTGGCCCGCTCTCCGTTCCGTTATTACAAAATGGGTCGCCAAAGGCAGTATAGTCGTAACGGACGAGTGGAAGGCGTATAATCGTCTTTCCTCAGAAGGTTATCTGCATTTCTCTGTTAAACACTCAAAGAACTTCAAGGACACTACCACCGGACGGCACACCAATGCCATTGAGGCATACTAGAGTAGACTGAAGAGGAAACTCCACGAGGGAGACCCTGTATGTGGTCGAGCTGTGTGGGCTCATATAGACGAAGTACAGTATCGTCTATGGTTTGGCCCCAATGCCATGTCTTTGACAGATGACTGGGAACTGTTCCTGTCCGATGTTGTGCAGACTTATCCTATTTAAAAGTGATTTTGTCTTGTTATAAACTGTCATAATGCGAATGTATGCCGTATATTCAGGTGTACGTGTGTAACGATGGGGAAGGTTGGGTAACAGCGACCATCGTCCATGTAACCTCCTGCGATGTTCATTCGGCCAG